AGCCACAGGAGAACCTGTAGCCGCCTGCCTCTCCCCAGGCAGGGAGAACTGCGAGAAAAGCCCCCATGGCTGCCCTGCTCGGCCCTATCCCCCGCCTGGCCCCTGTGCGGGCAGGGACTGATCCGGGCCCTTTTTCGCACCGCGCGGGCTGTGGCCAGCAGCCCGGGCACGCTGGGTCGGAGAAAGCAGGCGACACGCTAGAATTAGGCACGGACGCTTAATGGTTGATTTAAGATTATTTACTTACACCGTAGATGGTCGCGGTGTAGGCTGGACAGTTTCCCAGGCAAAGCTCCGCTTAAATCCCCAGTTTGAGGACTCAGACTGTACTCGGATCACTCCTACGGAGTTGTTGAGGCTACGTGGATCCTTTTGCGCGCGGGGAAGAGGGATACGTTGAGGATTGCGCTTGGTGACGGGGAGAGGCTAGAGGCTGATCAGACCCCTGTTGTCTTCTTTGAATACGCTGGGTCCCCTCCAACTTGGGCGGAAACCACTCAAGCCTCTTATACGGCTAGCAAGCCAATCACTAGCCGCCACGTGGGAATATTTTAACACAAGCCAATAATGGGGCTCGAATTTTAATACAAATGGCGGGAACTCCTTGCAACGTGCATTTCTATGCTGCAAAGAAGAAATGCACCCTGCAAAGAGAGCTCCAAAATGGCAGGAAAATAATTCAGTGGTGTCAAAGCACACACAAAACAAAATCACACCCTTGGGTTGTGACAGCCCCAGCCTAGTCTCAGCACTTAAAAAAAAATAGTGTCCCCCCCTGCCTAACACCCATGTGGCAACTTGTCGCATCATGTGGGTGCAGCACAGCTTGCCAGGGCGCCACGTGCTGTCTTGGAGCTGGGGCCACTGGGGCTGAGTGGTGCTGGGCTCTGGCTGACACGTGGAACCACCCCTGTCCCAGACAGCATGTGGTGCCCTGCTGAGCCACATTGCACCTGCGCCATGGGGCAGCTGCCGTGTGGTTACCAAGTGGGGAGGGGCAATTCCCGCTGCCCCTCACTGTCCCATGCTGCATGGGGGGGCTGAGGCAC